GTCAAACGCAGATAAACTGCCGCCCCGTACCCCTTCTCGGACGCGTCTCCGAAAACGTGGATCTGGGCGTCAGACACCGCGCGCCACCCACCAACACAGTAACAACGGGGTACAGTCATCCCTTTGATCTCTTCCAATCCCCTCACCCATCTACAAAAACGCTCCCTGATCTCCTCTGGCACAGGGTCATCCCAACCGATACCCAGACGCCAGGTCTCTTGAAACAAGAGCTTCAGTGTCATGACGTAGGGGGACAAGAATCCCAGAGGGTCAAACATCCTAGCGACGAAAGACAAAATCACCCTCTTTGTCACCACCACATCGTCAGGAATACAAACTCCAGCAAAGGAAAACACATCATCACTGGGCCTCCACTCAACACCAAGAACCTTGTGGCATTCCTCATCATCAAGGCCAGACAAGGACGACGCTTTGTCCAGCACGACACGACTGTTCGAGCTCAGTTTGGTTAACTCCATACCAGCTTGAGCCAGAACCTCTTTCGCCTCAGTAAACAAAGTCAGTGCTTCCTCCTCGGAGTCGGCACCAGTCAGTAGATCATCCACATACATGTTATGTTCAAGTTCAGATATGGCAGTGGACGAGGGGAAGCCCTTCAAATGGTGTCGCAGAGTGGCAGCAAGGAGAAACGGGCTACTCTTGACACCAAAGGTGACCCTGGCAAAGCGCATCGTTCTCACAACACCATCCTGTCTCCACAGGAACCTCTGCACGTCCCTATCACGCTCACAGAGACCGATCATGAGGAACGCTTTACGGATATCAGCACAGACCGCGTACTGCCATCTCCTGAAGCGGAGGAGCACCTCCACCAGGTCAGGCAAGAGACACGGACCTGTCTCAAGGCAGTCATTCAGGCTCACGTGGTTGGGGCCCTTGGCTGACGCGTCAAACACTGGTCTGACCTTAGTGGTGGCGCTCGACTCTCGTACCACAGGTCTGTGAGGAAGATAGAAGACACCTTCTCTCACTATCTCTGACTTTGGAACTTCCTCTATAATGCCAAGAGACTCCATCTCCTGTAACGCAGCATCATACTCAGAGTGGAGCTGAGGATTTTTGTCAAGCTTCCTTTGCAAAGACTGCAACCTAACCTCGGCAGCCTTGAGATTGCTCTGCAGTTCATCAGCCCCCTGCCCTTTCCATGGAAGCTTCACCTCGTATCTTCCGTCCTGAAAGCAAATGGACGACTCAAAGTCTCTCAAAACGGGATTCTTTTCCAAATCGTCCTCCTCAGGTGCAATGCCCACCACGTCCAGGTCCCAAAATTGACGAAGTCGGGACTCATGCACATCAGTCATGACGAGCAGCTGGTGGCTCACGGTGGCATCAAGCTGCGTTGTACCACCCGAGGGACCGGACAGAACCCAGCCAAACACCGTCTGCTGGGCGACCGGGCCACCATCAGAGCGGAGACAACCTGTGCCCATCAGCTGCCAGTAGAAGTCAAGCCCAATCAAAATGTCTATCGTGCGCTGAACTCCCACCTGCGAGTCTGCCAACTCCAAATTTCCCAGGGAGGCCAGCACTTCCACAGGGATGCATGGTTGAACCAAGGGGGCACAAATTACCGGCACCTCTGCTGCGTCCACCACTACCTGCTCGGCAGCATTGGTACCATGCATTGCAAGCCTGAACACATGCCTTTGTCCATCCTTGCTCTCTTTACCACCAAAGGCAGCATAGGTGAGCTCCTCTGTCCTGAGATACTCAGGCTTGCATCGTTTCACAAGTGAAGAGGACACATAAGAGCGGTTTGACCCAGAGTCAAACAGAAGTGTTGCCTTCACGTCACCATGCTTACCCCTGACAGTGACTGAGGCAGTGGGTAGCACAGCACTCAAGCTACCAGAAGTACAAGACAAATTCACATCAGTGGGTTTAGCACCCCTGGGAGCGGACTCTGCACTCTGGAAACACTTCACTACATGGTGTTTCCCCCCGCAGCTGTCACAGACAGCAGCGCACACTGCGGCCCTGTGGCCAGACTGCAGACATCTGAAGCACAGACCCTTGTTCCTGATCTCCAGATGCCTTTCATGAACAGGAAGCTTCAACAGCTCCGGACAACTAGCTGTTTTGTGACCCTTGTCACACATGCCACACCTAATCCCAGACTGTGCAGAGGCAGCAAGAGCTGCTGCAGTTGGAGGCAGCCCTTCCCGCTGCCGACCTCTCAGGCGAGTGACCACTCCAGCCGAGGAATGAGAAACCTTGTGACCAGCACGAGCTGGTGAACCACCTGTCTGGGCCAAGACACTATCTCCAGTGGACCTCACACTAGTGCAGTGACCAGACCTTTCCTGTCTACGTATCTCACTGCTCAAAAATTGCAGAAGGTGAGACAGATCACCCTCATGCTGCTCAGAAGTCCGAGCCCACTCCATTCTCACCTCCGCAGGCAGCTTGGATAGAACAAGAGGGGTAAGTATTACTCCATACTTGTCCCCAGTGACACCAAGCGCTTCCAAACTGCGGATGTGGGACAACAAAGAGTCCTGCAGAGCTACCAAGTTGAGCTCAGTCAGGTTCAAAAGACTTTGTATGTGCAAAAAAATAAGCTTCTCGGGACGTCCATATCTCTGAGTGAGGATGTCAACAGCAGCACCATAGTTTGCTGCTGTCAGGGCCAGGCCTTCCACAGACTTTGCAGCCTCACCCTTCAAAAGGCTCCTCAGGTAAGCCAACTTCTGGACATCAGGCAAATCAGACTTATGTACACAAGCCTCAAACGACTCCCAAAAAAGTAACCATCTCTCAACATTCCCATCGAAGGTAGGTAGGCTTAGCTTCGGTAACTTCACCTCAGCTCCTGTACCAGTGTGACTGCTAGCACCAACACTACTAGCATCAGCTCCAGCCTGAGTTGCTGCAACCAGGCGAGCACGTTGCTTACAAACTAAGTCCCTATAAGTACCACTTTTCTCTATATCATCAAGAAGCTTATCCTCATCAATACTAGCCTCTACTGCTGCTTGGGCATCATCAAAGGTGGCCAAACGCTTATCAAACTCGGTGAGAGCAAGAGCAGCCTCAATCTGCCACTCAGCTGTCCTGTCAGCTACTCGAACAGAACACAATGACTCAATCTTATCACTAACTCTACTAAGCCACCCTTTGGCAGCTTTGCGAGATCTCTCTTCAGCCATGCTACCAAAGTGTGAGATGTACTTATAACTAACAGTGAACTGATAACCAACTACACAAATATCCAAAGGTCCCTAATGATTCGGCACCACAAAAGACCAAAAGTCCAGTTTCCCGGGTATCCAGGCACCAATGTAACCAACCAACCAAGCAAAAGATGGAAAATTGAATAACTTAGAAACAACCCTAAATAAACCAGAAGACCAAAGACCTAGAATACTTATGAAGAAAGTGTGTAACAATGGAAAGAAATCAAGATGAAATCTACAGAAGACCAAAGACCAATACCTAACCTAACTAATGAACAGAGTCATCTTCTCGAGCAAACAACTAGTCCAATTCCAACAACAAGACAAGAGCGGACGAATCCTCCAGCGGGTCAAAGGGGGAGGGGGGCGGGGTATCAAGCCAAAACCGTGTCAATCCGAACTCCGAACCCTAAGAGCATCAACGACCAAGTGACGTGAAACTGGGCGGGTACCTCCGAAATCCCTTACTCACCACGTGTAAACAAAAGAGACGTTTTAACGCACAAATCGCCGCACCACGCCGCTACCAAATAAATGGCAGCACAAACAGCGTAGTGAAAACTGGGCACGAAAGAGAAATACCCCTGTCCGCTAGGCGGCAGCACGTGTCAGACGACAATCAACCGCCGCCACACGAGCACAGCAGAGGGCAGCACGGCCAACTCGCCGGCCGCCCCAATAACAAGTCTCAATCGCCAACATAGCTCAAACAACATGCTTATCGTAGCTTATCAACTTTCCATACGGAATATTTTTTTCAGTTTCCCAAAAGATGTGTACACAGTTGTATGCATGTATGATTAAGTCCGTAGGTACCATTTTTAACTTAAATGTAAGGATTAATTAAGATTGACCTTCTCTGACGGCACCTATGTACTCGGGAGAAGCCTTGATCTATACCTAATCGGACATGTAGGTAGCTGGTCAAATATTCAGCCTTCAATGTTATGGAGAGATTTATATGGAGATTTTATCATATTCAAGGTGGAACTACATAGACCTAAATGTCTTCCAGCATCATTCGGATTACAGGCAAATTAGGAAATACATTTCTTTGAACGACAACCAGAGAAGGTTTGACGTTGTTCGGTGGTTCAAGAGTGCGCTTGCTATTCTCCTGCTTTCCTTTCTAGGGTTCGTTGCTGACATGACGAAAAAATATATATAAACCACTAACAAGTGACCTAACTTTGAATCACATCAAATTAGATATGTTCAACGCCCCGAAAAAGTTTAGGATTGATTATGAAATATCCCAAATGAAATCCAGCAGAGTACCTATATCAACGATTAAATCTTTCAAAGATATTATTTATATAAAATGAATGAATTAGTCTAAAAAAAACTTTTTTGTATCTGACTATACGATTACTTAAAAATGCCGTGTTACATTGGCAGCGTTTTGAAAAACCAATCAATATCTGATATCGCTAGAAGTGATTAGATATTGATGATAGATACGACGTCTCATGTTTCTTTTTAATCACTCGAGTTTCCTTTCTGTGACGTTCACCATGTACCACCCACCAATCTTGAGGTTTTTTTCGGTAAAATACAGGGCTGTTTAACGCCACTGAACACATATTAACACTAAAACTTTATGTCACTGAAGCCAACAGGACTAACCTATATCAATGAGTACCAACAACATTCAAAGGTCAGCTACTTCTCGTGGCTTGGCCAACGTCACTGGCGTAACTCCACACCTATACATCTACGTAGAACATAAAACAGCTCGAACATTTAACCATTTTGGAAAAACACTACGACTAAGTGTAAGTAAAAAAGATTGCTAACAGTAAGCCCAAAGTTCACTAAACATGTATCTCTAATAGCCTGCAACATTGACCGGTAAATCTTGCAGCACAAGCCCTTCGGCACATCGAGAACACCCCAACAACTAACGTACGACCGCGACTAACGCGGTCGATGGACCGGGTGACACACCGGGTGAGGGCTTTTCGTTAAATGTTCTCCGCACAGAACACCAAGCGGCTGTACCTAGAAAGCACGACAGCACACAAGACACCGGCGAAAACACACGCACAAACACCGATGGAGCAGAGCTCGCCCGCTGTGGCGGTTTTGATTCAGGTTCGCTACGATTGTAGAAAAATGTGGTAGACCTAAGGTATCTGGGAAAAATCAGTATCGGCATGCAGTAACCAGCTAGTGCTTTTGATACTTCTCAAGTTTTATTCTGGCCTGGCAAACAACAAAGTTAAGAATATTTATGTTGAATATCAGGTGCGCAAAGTTTTCCGGTAACAGGCATAACATGTTATGCTCTCTTCACTACAAAAATATTTGCGCATGTATTTCGTACATTGAACCTCGCCAGGCCAGACGCATATTTGATAGCCTTATCACCTTAGCTCACTTCTACGGGGCAACGCCAACGCGAAATCCCCAGTTACTCCCAGTTACCTTTGCTCACCAGTTTATTTATTTGCCCTAAATGAGCACAGGGCAGAACTGTTTTACCTGAGATAATTTGATTTTATACACGAGCGGTCTTACTGTGTGTACATTCCCAATGAGGCTGCCGAAAGAAAGCTGTGCTCGCAAACCGCGAGGCGCCATAGTCAGATGATAGCTAACGCCCGTTCGCTCATTTTTACCCTTGGATTTAGTTAAGACGAGTTCAAGATTGAATTCATTAGATTTGTGCTAAGCACCACAATCAACATCGGGCCCACATTTTGCCAATTGATGCCTCCCTTGGGCGGCAAGCTAAAATAATTATGGGACCAAGCTGAAACGTTTTTACGCTGATGTCCGAATGACTAAAGCCTCCGAATTCAAACCTGAAGTTGACTTATTTTACCTTGATTTCTAAATGTCTAGTTAAGTAGCCCTTGCCTGTCGCTTATGCCTTATATTGCCGACTACGGGCAGACGCTAAAGCGCGACTCGAGTCTCGCCGTTTCAAATCGTCGCTTTACGCCATCCCGCTAGTCAGATATAGATACGCCTGCCCCTTGGAATGGGTGCGGAGGGTGGTGCACAACAGAGAGTCTTATTCCATGGCTAGTTAAAATCGATGGCAGCTGGTATTTTAGATGTATTAGAATGGATAACAAGTGCAAATTTATGTTGTTGTTTTTAATACGAAGAGCGACTGGGGAAACGTGCAGAACAATACATTTAATTTGTCCATTTGATTAACACGTGTTTTCACCTGCTTTAACTGTACTACATGCCTGCTAACATTTTCAACAACTTTAAACTGGACTTAATCAAAGTAACATTGGGGAATTAGGACATTTAGAGAATGTAATGTTTGACGTGGTTGATATCCATATCTTTTATTCACACAGCCGTTTTCGTGAGCAAATATCAAGACTTCATGAAAAGCCTTTTTGGGTAGCATCCGTACCAATGGTGAGCGTTGGAAAGTGGTCGCTTTGTTACATTCGTCAGAGGTTGCAGTGGTTTAGCAACTGATTTTTTTTTATAATGTGCCCTACAAACTAAAAAATGATCTGCACGAATCGTATTGTGTGCATTTCCATATAAGTATAGCTGGTATGGCCAAAAAACACACTTGCGCCTAGATCAATTAAGTACCATATGGCTAACAATTATGAACGCTTAATCGCAGTGCACAAAAAAGTACCAGCACGTCTAGAATAAGCAGACTTTTTGCTCCAAGGGAAGGGACAGCAGACGCAGCTCTTGTCAAACGAAACATAAACCCATCATGGACAGACTTCTGACGTCATTTCAGGTATTGTCGCCGTGAAATAATTGAACACATGTGCTCTGTTTTCATTCATAGCGGATTTCAGTGTGGTTAATACGAAAAAGCCTAATAAAAACTGCTCGTTTACACGCAGTCTATCTGAGTTACAACTGCATATACCTATGCGGCCATTGGCCAGCCTCATCAAAAGCAATGATCGAGTCTCCGATTTCCGCTGTATCCAGTGTCCCAAATGACATTATCTATAGCAGAACGACGACCAACACTACATACCCAGCAGCCCGGACATTTACCGGTAATGCGACATTGCGACGGTCATAAGCCCCGGAGGATCAGCTGCTGCCCGAATTTGGCCTGAACACTGAACGACTACCAGAAATAGCGGCGAGTCAATACGCTGGCCGACGACGGGAAACGCGTCAAAGAACACCGACTCGGCACTGTTGTAAAAGGTTGCCATGGTAAGACCGGTGTGACCATTTCTAGGGAAACAGGTCCGTATCGATCGCTACATCGTCTTATCATAATTGGCTATATGTACCGACTCATACTGATTGTCGAAAAAAGCAATATCAGTGTGGGCTACAAAGTGCGCGGATCAAAGTGGAACGTGAGGGGGGGGGAGGGGGGGCTGGGGGAACCTGTGTGACTTGAGCACAGATTGAGCCGGCACTGTAGCCCGCTGGATGAGCATTAATTGAGGAAAGTCCGAAGAAAATTTGGTAAAATAATGTTGTAGCATGCATAAGTTCATTGAGCTCAGGTGCTATCAGATAGAAGTTCAAATGTCCCCCGATTACCGCAGGCTGGTAAACATTATGAGGTCTTAACACTGCATGGCTGACTGGCCTGCGTAAAATATGGCCTATCGGAGACAGCCAGCCTCTAATTCACATATCGGCGATATAATGAAATGTTGCCTGGACACTTTGATCTGCTGGTGACCCTCAATCAGCACGACACGTGGCTACAGCGCATTAGCTCAGATTGCACTGGACAGTCGAACCGCGCTGGCGGATCTGACAGCGGCGATGGAAACTAACTGTGCCGACGGGATCGGGCAGCGCGGCGGAAACGAGCTGGTGGGATCCGTGGCGCCGGTGGGATCCAACTGAGATCCAACAGCACCGGTGGGATCCAATCGGGATCCAAGTGTACCGGTGGGGTCCAACTGGGATCAACCATACCGGTGGGATCCAACTGCGATCCGTCTGTAACGGCGGGATCCAACTGGGATCCGAGTGTACCGGTGGGATCCGCGGGGCTGGAACCCGGCGGCGCCGGTAGGACAGCGGGGCGGGCTGGACGCTGGGGCCGAGCCGCGCCAGGGCGCTGCGAGTGGACGCTTGTCGTTAACACGCGCGACTCGCAGGCTCGGGGGGCGCCGGCGGCCGCGCCGCGGCGGCTCACATGGGCAGCAGAGCGGCGCCGTAGCACGGCGTGCCGGCGCCCCCGGCTGACGTGGAGGGAGCGAACACGGACGAGCCGCAATCGGCCACCGTGTCCGGGGAGTAGAACTGACTCAGCGACCGGGAAACGGCCAGCGGCATGGCAGACTGCAGCATAGCCGCCCGGCTCATGGACATGTGGGACGGGTACTGCTCGCCCCCAGAGCCGACAGACGACAGGGGCGGGAAGTACTGCTGGCCAGACGTTCTGGCAACCGAGAGTGGTGGAAAGTACTGCTGGCTGGGCGACCTGGCGGCCGAGAGCGGCGGCGAGTACTGCTGGCTGGATGACCTGGCTATCGGCAGTGAGAGCGAGTAGTATTTGTTGGCCGACCTGGCCAGCGGGTGGGTCGGGGAGTACTGCTGGTTTGAGGTCCCCGGCGCCGGCAGAGAGGAGTACTGCTGGTTGGGTACTCTGGTGATGGACACAGAACCCAGTGAGTACGGCTCGTTGGGAGCTCTCTCCGTCGGCAGCGGCGGAGAGTACTGCTGGCTCGGCGGCCTGGAGTCCGGAAGGGGAGAGGGATACGGCTGACTGGGTGACCGGGCGGCGGACAGCGCCGCGGGGTACTCGTGGCCCGGGGACCGGGTGGCCGGGAGGGGCGAGGAGTACTGCTGGTTGGGCGATCTGCCGGCTGGGGGCGGCGGAGAGTACTGCTGGCTCAGGGAGCGGCTCACGGGCAGCGGCGGTGAGTACTGGTGGCTCGACGACCGGGCGATGGACGGCGGCGGTGAGTACTGCTGTGCCGGCCCCGCCACGCCCATCGGAGAGAACTGGGCGGGCGTGGGCGCGTTGCTGATGGGCGAGTACTGGCCCACGGACGAGGGGCCGGTGCCGGCCGGCGAGTACTCGGCCGGAGAGGTGGTCACCGTGATGGGCGAGTACTGGTCGGGCGAGCCGCCGGAGAGCTGGCGCAGCGGCCCGCCGCCCGGCGAGAAGGGGCCCTCGGCGCCGGACGGCGGCCCCGGCGAGCCCTGCTGGGGTCCGGCCGGCTCGGCCAGGGGAGAGAGCTGACCGGCGGCCGGTGTTGGCGGGGTGCGGCCCACCGCGCAGGGCTGCAGCGGCGGCACGGCGGCGCCGTCGTACCCGGCACGCAGCGCCGCCGACTCCATCGTATCCAGGCTGAGGGGTCCGTCTGGAACAGGGCGGAACGGTGTCAGCAGAGGAATCCACACGGTATCCGGACACCGTATCCGGACATCAGTCCGGTACGGAATCCACACGGTATCGGTACCGGTCAATGCAGAGTAATCGACACAGAATCGTTATCAGTTCGACATCAGTTCGGTATCACTTCGGTATCAATTTAGTATCAGTTCGGTATCAGTTCGGTATCAGTTCGGTATCAGTTCGGTATCAGTTCAGTACGGTATTGACATCGCAATGACACAGTATCGGTATCAGTTCGGTATCAGTTCCGTATCAGTTCGGTATCAGTTCGAAACGGTATCGCAATGACACGGTATCGGTATCAGTTTAAGCATCAGTTCGGTATTAGTTCGGTAGGGTATCGACAAGTTATGGGTACGGTATCGGTCACTGCAGACTAGCGCTTAAGTACCGATATCGGTCACTGAAGACTAGCGCTATAGTGCCGGTATCGGTCACAGCAGAGCGGCACTATAGCATCGGTCTCTGGAGAGCGCCGGCTTAGTGTATCTGTACCGGTCACTGCAGCCTGGCGCCGTAGTTGTTATCCATATCGTATACCTCACCGAGTCACGTCTTCTCATAACATGGACCACCAACGTCAGATGAGAATAGACAAAACTATTTATCATACATTACGGGCCGCGGGAGCATCAAACCGCCTCCTGGAGCTGACATGGAACGACGAACCTCACATTGTGCACGATCCCAAACATTGTACATGAACAGGGAACATCGATTTGGAATATGAACGCTTGCATGGGTATGTCCAAACACAGATTTTCCATTAGCATTTCAAAACGGCCAATGAAAGCAAACATCTTGTTCTTTAAAAATAGCCTCGACCATGGACAACATGAATTCATGTTGCCTTCGCATTGATTTGAACTAACCTTTGATTAACAATGGGATATGATTCTAAAAGAACGATCAGTTGGACTATTGGAAAATTACCGGGGGAAATAAATGGACACGGACCGTCGTTGCTAAAACCATATACCTAAGGGCCTGTTCCAGCGCCTCCAGAAGAAATTCTTGACTGGAGGCTCTACCAGAGGTTTTACTGGAGGCACTGGAACGCAATCTGGAGATTTCTGGAGATTGGCGTCATAGATACCAAAAGAATGACGATTGTTCTCTCTTGAAACGCAAAATTTGTTTTCAATTTTAGTTAAAAAGATAAATAAAATTATAGCAATGTAATTTTCTTTACATTCAAGTTGTAAAATAATCAGTCAAATGTCCTTTGTTTACATTCGTGATTGTCACATGTGCACCATAATTGTAGACCAGAGCCTCCAGAGAAATTTGGACCTCTCAACTCTCTGGAGGCTACTGGAGGTTTCTGAAGCTTTGGCGAGAGCTTTCTGGAGCTTTCTGGAGGCGCTGGAACGCTCTCTGGAGGATTCTAGAGCTTTCTGGAGCTTTCTGGAGGTTTCTGGAGGCGCTGGAACAGGCCCTAAGTAACGTCACTTTTGAAACTACATCCCTGCCACACATTAATTACGAAATACTTCTCATATTTTCCAGTTGCTAATAATGCCAAATTTGTGGGCAGTGTTGAGCCGCTCATCGCTTTGCTCGGCTGCACCTTCCACTGTCCAAACGTGGCTGGAGCAAAGGAACGGACGGACTCTGGGCACTGAGGGAGGCATAATGTTATGAAGCGTATAAGTACATGGATGTTCACGAAAAACTGACACATTTTAAAACGACTTTGTGAGCATGTGAGAGCTCACGGAGACTTGATTTGCATGCCATTCGAAAGCCTGTTGAAAAAAGTTTTGTATGTGCATAGCTCCTTTTGGTAGCATCACATGAGTTTTCAAATAAATAAGAAAGCGTTAAAATGGGGAAATTTGACTTGGCGACAAAACTTAGCGGAAAAACAATGAAGCTCACGCGGCTACCATCTGCCACCACGACTGAACCAGTCCACGAATTCGTCTAAAATTTGGCATATTAATGTTTCGATGGATTATGTTTTATACTATTAGCATATTGTGGGCAAATTCCTAAGGAATGCCCAAATTGGCAGGCTTGGAAGTGCTGATGCCAGAAACCATGGCCGCATGCTGGCAGTTACTGTAGAGTGGTACCGTGTCATCTTTTAACGGCTTCTGTTAGCTACTGTAGCGGAAATGGGTCGACGTCTACACCATTCGGTGGTTCTGGCACGTCAGGGCCACCCCACGTGCAGTAACCGCGATCATCGGTCACATACGAGAACAGGGGGAGGGGGCATTGTCTCGCGCATCACCTCTCACCCATAGCCGGCCATTTCGCTCTACCTCAACACCGTGGACTATTCCTGTGGGGTCACGTGAGTGACATGGTCTGTAGCAGCGGCCCAAAGGACATCAAAACTCCCGACGAGTGCAGTGAGAGGTGTTGCAATTCTCCAGGCACGTGCCCAAAAACGGGGGATAATTTCCTGTTTCGGGCTGAGTCGTGCACTGCTCCAAAAACTCGTCATCTGCAAAATACGCTGTAACTTCTTAGAAACGAAAATGACATGTTCCCAAAATATGTCAATAAAAACTTAGAAGTCCACTCTATTTGCCCATAGCATGATCACCGTGCTGAGGGCAAGTGTTTTCTCGTAATTCGGAAATAAAATGTGTCAGTTTTTCGTGAACATCCCTGTACAACTATTCGCAAGTAAAGACACGGGAGCATACAAAACCAACAACAGTGCAACTCAGGTGGCGTGTCTGGTCCCTTACCGCTACTACCTCCAAGAGATAAATGTCTGTTATTCAGACTGGTTCGTGGTATGTGCTACAGAGAAATTTTCCAAGTTACGACCGAGCGATGAGCCGTACATATTTGTTACGCCCGAGTCCCTGAACACTCCCGGGATCTGTCAGAGTCGCCGGCAGCCACTTTAGTTTACAAATTGGGTTTCCTGATTGAAACGAGGCAACGCTTCGTCTACATGTCGATACCGTGTGCGTTACATCTGGTCTGATCTAAAGACATCTGAATGCAAAATGAAATGTGAAAAGGTCCATTGATATTTTTCTTCGCGATAACAGATAACATCGAATAATTATTTGTGCTTTGTATAAAAATAAGTTAATAAAATGATATCTCATCGAAGTTTTAATGTAGACTCCAATTCCTGAATGATTCTACACGAGACGAAGCACTAGATCTCATCGGTACCTAAGCGCTAGGTCTTACCTCAGCCAAGACAATGATGCACCACGCCGTGCTACCTATGTATGGTGCCAATAATGGATTAACAATAATCTGAATAGTTTTTTGGGGGTGCACAGTTTCACAAGTGACCTTTACAGGTCAACTTACAGTTCATTCGATGCGTATCGACGAGAGAAACACGATGTTGGCAAAATTTGACGCCAAAGTTATTCCCAACATTGTTGGAAAATTGTTTGGGCGAAACCTATCTATTTTGGTGGATTTTGTCCCCTGTAGGCCAAACCGTTCAGACCCTGGCTCAAATATGAGGCATGTTATCGAAAGAGCTTTAAAAGAGCTATGGGCATGCGCTTTTCCGTGAATCTAGCTGTTTTGGTTAACGAGTTAGGTATATGCTGATTTGTAAAAGAATGTCAAAATCAGACAAAACAATGTGAAAATTTTATCTTTGGTGTCCTCCAGTGACCTCAGCGACGACCTGATATGCTTTATGATAATGTTCGTAAAATAAACACAGCATCTCCGTGAACTTCCGTTGCCCCTGTGCCCGAGGCCAGCAAACAGTGGCGTGCTGAAGTAAATGCTTGCTGAAGGGTCGCCAAACCGTGACCCTTTGCATATCTGCCGACAATGCCATGCAACGAAATTTCATTAACTTTCCCATGGAATAAATGACACTGATGAATAATCTGGTCGGCGCACCTGGAGCCAGCCAACTTTCCAACTTTGCGGCTGCCTTCGCTGTTAGAGCGGCCGAATTAATGAGTGCTGTGAGCGACAAATGACATTCGGGGCGGGCTATTTCTGCCGCGCTGCCGAGCGCCCGCTCGCCCGGCCCCGGAGGGCTTTCCTTAGAGGCGGACGCGGAGCGCCATCAATGGATGAACGACACATGGTAACAGTCAGAGTCGGACAACGGGAGAACAACGGGCTCTTCTGAACGGCCGGGGAACGACGCCGAGTGCTAAACGCAGGTGATCGATAAGACGCTAGGGACGATGCATCGCCACCAGGCACACCGAGAGATGGACTGAGAAGAGCGGACTGAGAAGAGAATAGAGATCAACTGTTAAATAGGGCAATGTAAAAATATATCGAGCAAAAACAGCTGGAGTAGCTGAGCACACCATTACAAAAGTAAAACACTTAAAAATACATGAATCAATAGGCGCGCGTGTGTGTGTGCAATGTGCATCTTGCAGATGTCAAGTAATTCAGGATTTCTGAATTCTGGCTGGCAGGTAAGAGGTGCCTTGAGATACTCTTTGATCCGGCAGGCAGCTGTCCGCGGCGGCTGCGATACTTCAGTCTCCACACCAGAGTATAGGACATAGGTCACCGGTCGAGCACTCGTCGGGCTCTCAGCATCCAAACGCCGTCAGAATATTCATGCACCTTCCTGAGCCAAACCAACCTCGTGATGCCGGCACTACAAACTCGTCTGAATTGAGCATGACTTGGGGAGCCGGCGTCGAGAGCTGAAACTTCTCGCGACTGTCCCTATATTCCCGGCGGCACCCGTCATGGAGGACGCGGCAGGGGCACGCGCCGACGGATCAATGGCGGCTCCATTAAACACTGATGGCGGCCGGCGCAGCGCTCCGAGCCAATGACGAAATGCGGACGCCGGCCGCCTTCGAATGGCGCCGCGCCACTCCAACCACTCCAGAATGGCCACCATCCATATAAAATGTATGAGAGCGGCCGCTGTTCGGGGGGGGGCTGCCACCGGGCCCTGCCCCCCCCCCCCCCACCCTGTCCCATTCAGTACCACCAAGCCCTGCCCTCTCCCCCCCCCCCCCCCCGCCCGTCCCATTCAAT